TTGTGGACTTTTTTTTATTATCTTTTTTTCCATTTTTATTATTTATATTATTTTCTCTTATTTTCATCATGGGTTTCACCATTGCAGCAACCAGCTCATCAAGTACGTAATTTTTCCTGGCTTATGTATAACGGAGCGCATTTAACGTTATTTTATCGGCCACTGCCTAATTCAATTACTGCAATACTACAACCTAATAACTTACCATCCATGCTCATCTCATTCTCTCTCTCTTTCTCTCTTTCTTTTTTTCTCTTTCTCTCCCTTTCTCTCTCTTTATCTCTCTCTTTCGCAGACAGTAGAGAGAGAGAAAAAAAGAGAGAAAAAGAGACAGAGAAAGAAAAAGTGAAGAAGAAAGATGGAGAGAGAGAAAAAAGCACACAAAAAAGGAAAAATAATAAAAAGAAAACAGAAAGAAGAAAAACTTGAACAATATAGCAATAAAACAAACTAGAAAAAAGAAAAAGTGTGAGGCAAAGGGGAAGAGAGAAAGAATGGAGAGAGAAAGACAGACAGAGAGAGAGAGAAAGAGAGGGAAAGAGAGAGTGCATATGTGTGCTTGGGCGTTCAGACTGTGTGGACACATACATAACTAACGCAGCTGCCTTCCTAATCGTAATACAATTTGACAGGCACACGTTTCCTGGCTAATATATCCATCCGTCTGTACACAGTGGAGAAAGAGAGAGAGGGAGAGAAAGAGAGAGATAGAGAGAAAGAGAGAAATAGAGAGAAAGAAAGAAAGAGAGAAAAAAACAGAAAAAAGTTAGAGCGAGAGAGAGAGAAAAAATAAAAAGAAAGAATAAGAATGAGAGCGAAAGGGAAGAAAAATAAAAAAGAACAAAGAAAATGAAAATTCAATCAAGAGCAGTGTATGAAGAGAAAAATAAAAAAGGAGAGGAGGATGAGAAAAAGAGAAAAAAGAGAAAAAGAGAGAGAGAGAGACAAAATGTGAATGAGAAAGCAGAAAATAGAAAAAAAGGAAAGAAAAGACTGAGAAACAACCAGCAAAATAAATATAAAAACTAAATTTGATGGCAGACTTTAAAAAAGATTTGATGAATGAATGATGGTGATCGAATGAATGAATGAATGAATGAATGAACGAACGAACGAACGAATGAATGGATGGACAAACAAATGAATGAACGAATGAATAAATCAGTAAATAAGTTTACATTTGTGTACGTAAATCTGTGTTGGATGTGTAAAAAACAGAAGAAGAAAACATTTTTTTTCTTTTATGAAATTAATTTTTTTTTGAGATATAATTAGGCTCTAGAGTAAAGCTTAGTTATAAACATATCTGCTAATTATATGCGTCATATCTGAAGCTGGTTAATCACAAAATACGTTTGCAAATTTTAAAATTGAAAACAAAGAAAATACACAGATACTCGTATAAATATATTTAATACCAAGAAATTTGGGTTGATACGCATATTAAAATGCTTGTGTGAATAGCTAAATGTAAGTAAATTTAAATGAATAAAACATATGTGATATGTGTTGTAAATGTAAAACTATGTATGTGATCTCATTTATGTAAATGTGTGTGTGTGTATGTGTATGTGTATGTGTGTGTGTGTGTGTGTGTGTGTGTGTGTGTAATGGACGCAAAGATAAAAGAATAAATTCTTGTATAAATCTTTCTAAGCGGTTTTTGCGTGTCACGCATACGTTAACATTTATTTACGTTTCGTATGCTTGTGTGTTTGTGTGCCTATGTGTGTTTCTGTGTGCGTGTGTATATGTGCCTGTATGTGTGTGTGTAAAATAGTCTTACGTTCTATGCCAAAGTGTTTTTCAATTAAGATGGGTTATTCATTAATTCTTTAATTCGAACACTAAGCTATTTTTACGAGACATGGAGCCTGAAAACCAAAAAAAGCTACTACTGCTACTGCTGCTGCTGCTGATTTTGCTACAGCTACTACTACTGCTGTTGCTGCTACTACTGCTACTACTACCGCTACAACTTTTATCATAACAACAACAAAATCTCATTTACAAAACATACATCCAGCCAGCCATCTATCCTTGCTTTTAACAAACTTATGTACATCAAGAAATGACGTAAAAAGTGTACGGCGAAAAAACGCATAATCTGATACGCACACTCGCACACACGCACGCACAAAAACAAACAAACAAACACACACACATATATACATGTATTGTGTGAATTCCACCAAATTGTTGGCAATAATCAATTTAAAGTCTCTTTTTTTCAATTTCCCTAACTAGAATTTTTAAGAAATTGCTCAATTTCTAGTAAGAAAATTGAAAAGACATACTTTTAAATTTTTAAACGCCAACGATTCGATAGAATTCATACAATGCTATATAAAATATGGTCTCCTTTCAACATATACATATATATATATATATATATATAAATAAAAGTACTGATGAGAAAGAGGGACTGGAAGAAAAAAGTTGGAAGACCTGTGAGGAAGTGGATGGATGATATCACAAAATGGACGGGGGTTGGAACATTGGGCTCAATGAAGATGGCGAGGGAAAGAAAAGGATTTTGGAGAGATAGAAGAATACCATCGGTCTCAACGGTCCCTTAAGGGATTACATATATATATATATATGATATGATATTGATATATATATATATATATATATATATATATATATATATATATATATATATATATAATACATGTATATAGCCAACTATATATTTATATATATATATATGTATAGAGAGAGAAAGAGAGAGAGATTGAGATAGAGAAAGAGAGAGAGAGAGAGAGGAGAGAGAGAAAGGGAGAGATTTTTCTATATATATTTCCGTCAGCTTGGTTTTCCTTTACAGATATATAAGACAGATTGCTCTCAGAACAATGTTAACGAAGTTTAGAAATTTTATTTAAAGTTACGATAGAAATAAATATTATTTAATTAACTATCAAATTAATTCATTAATTCGTTAATTATTTAATATATTGTTAAATTAATTAATTAATTCGAATTCCACAAAACACATTTTGTTAGTAACACAAATTCATCTCAAAGTTTGTTTAAATTAATGAATATATAATTAGATATATGTATTCCATAAATTGATGAACGTATGAACGGATATAATAGATACAATATAGATATATAATAAGATACTGTAAAAGAAACATTAATTTATACTAACATAACATCAATGATCACACCTTTAACTAGATAACATCAACGTCACATCAGCTTTCATAGGGCTAAAAATTATTTACTTTTTGGTTATTCAGTCATCAGACATGTCGAGAATAAATAACATTAATAACATCAACAACAACATCAACAACAATAGCATCAACAACATTTGGCTTCGTTTGTTAAAATGTGTTGTCGTTATATTATCACTCGTAATCTCAACAAACTCTGACGTCATCGTCAACAAAGAAAAGATATTTTTCAACAACAACAAATTTTTCAACAATTTTGAGACTAATAACCTTGCCAGAAACAACAACAGCAACGATATTAGCCACCAAACACAACTTAATCATAATTCATCAAATGATAACAAACATAATGGTGATGATTTTCATAACAACAACAACAACAACAACATCAACAACCATGACGTCATCAACGGTAAAATCAATAACGACAACGACATATCTGCAAATGACAAAGAATTATTAAGGAGCATAAAAAGAAGTTTGACAGCATCCCTCTATCCATCCATCCATCCATCCATCCATCCATCCATCCATCCATCCATCCATCCATCCATCCATCCATCCATTTATTAGTTCATCCATCTATATATCCATCATTCATTCATTCATCTATTCATTCATCCATATATTTATATATCCATCTATCCATTCATCCATCTACCCGTCCATCCATTTATCTGCCCGTCCATCCATCCATCCATCAGTCCATTCATCCATCCATCCATCAGTCCATTCATCCATACATCAACTCATTCATTCACTTGTTCATTCATTCATTTATACATATACACACATACGTACACGCAAACACAACCACACACGTACGTACACACATACAACGCCATTTACTGCGTCTATATTGACGTGAGCTGAACTAGCGTACGTACACGTTACTGTGCGTATGCCTTTCAATGGATTTGTGTACATGCAGACCGTCTTGCAGTGCGTACGTACATGCCGGCATACATACATACGTACGTACATACATACATACATACATACATACATGCATAAATACATACATACATGCATACATACATACATACATACATACATACATACATACATACATACATACATACATACATACATACATACATACATACATACATACATACGTACGTACGTACGTACGTACATACATACGTACGTACATACGTACATACAAAACCAAACTAAACGTACTACAACATACAATCATTCCTACACACATCCATACATACATACACACATACATACGTAATTACATAAAAAGGTACATATGTACATACATGTATACAATACACTTATGCATACATACCTTCGTAAGAGCATATATAATTATGCGAACTATGTTTTATTTATAAATTTTTAAACAAAATTAAGTATCAATGTTAATAAAAAAAAACTTCTAAATGACAGTGGAATGCATATTGAATGTCTCCTTATTCATTCACACCAGGATCGATAGATAGTTCAGCCATGCGTAGACCACCGTTGATATCGAAACAAGTGAGTATCGGATCGGTATCGAAACAAACGAGTATCGGATTGGTATCGAAACAAGCGGGCATCGGATCGGTATCGAAACAAACGAAGATTGGATCGGTATCGAAGCAAACGAGTATCGGATGGGAGCAGCAGCAGTCTACAAACGGTAACAATCAGTCGGTTGATTCTTGGTACATGCAAAGTGATGAGCCAGACTCCAATGCTAAACCTAAAGTAATGATAAGAATGATGATTGTAAAGACGATGGTGATGTTGATAACGATGATAATGATGATGACGGTGATAGCGATTAAAGCCATCATGACGGTGATGGGTTTTTTAATGATAAAACCGTTTGATGTCTTATGGGATGGCAATTTTTATCGTCATTTTGATAAACAACATCGTTATCATCAACAACAACATTGTCATCAACATCATCATCGTCGTCGTTGTCTTCATCATTTTCAGGATTGTATCTATCCGTGTCAGTGCAGTCCCGAACTGCCGACTTGTCAGACAGGAGTGCAGTTGATACAGGATGGATGTGGATGCTGTCAGATATGTGCCAGGCAGCAAGGTTTGTTGTTGTTGCTGTTGTGAATGTTGTTGTTGGTGCTATTGATGTTGTTGATGTTGTTGTTGATGTTGTTATATAAGTATAAATAATGTGTTTGATTGCTAAACCAACCAACCAACCGACCGACCGACCAACCAACCAACCAACCAACCATCTAGGAGACTTGTGTAGCAAAGCAGATGGCTGCGACAAATCAAAAGGATTGTACTGTAATTACACGCAGGACAATGGCATCAGAGGCATATGCAGAGGTTTGGAAAACTTGTTTTGATCTTGTTTAGTAAACTCTTTCTCTCTCTCTCTCTCTCTCTCTCTCTCTCTCTCTCTCTTCTATGTCTCTCTGTCTCTATTTCTCTCTTTTCAACTTTATTCTTTTTTCTATCTTTTCTTTGCTATTGTTTTATTTCTCTGTAGTTTTAGTTTATTTTTGTAAACAGTTGTTTGAATTGGTATGTTTTTTGTAATTCAAAAAAAGTCGCCATAAATTGTATGTGTGTGTGTGTGTAATGTTTTTATATGTGTACGTATAAATATAAGTGTGTGTATGTGTGCATATATATTTGTGTGCGTGTAAATGTGTGTGCGTGTATATGTGTGTGCGTGTATATGTGTGTGCGTGTATATGTATGTTTTTGTGTGTGTTTTCATGTGTAAATGTGCGGACAAATATGAGCGTTATTTATTGATACGCACTTCGGAAACTTATATTAAAGTGCCAGCTGGTTGTTGGTTAATGTGTTTTTTGGGGGTTTGTAATTTTTATGTGGGCGGTCACTTTTCATAAACAAAACAGAAAAAAACACATTTTTCTTTCATATGTTTGTTTGTTTGTATGTAAGTATGTATGTTTGTTCGTTCGTTCGTTCGTTTGTTTGTTTATTTGCTTACCTATGACTTTTTGATCCTAGACACAACGTGCTCCAGTCGAATTGTTTATGAGTTTTGACCTTTCGTAAATATAAACACAAACAGACAAATAAAACAAATAAAAACATAAACAATACATAAACCAACATAGAAATAAACATTTGCAGGCATAAATAAACCTACACGAGCTTAAACAGAAACATAAGAATTAACCAGCGTAAATAAACAAAGCACTCGTACATACATTGTATTTTACATGAGTTGTCAATATTCCTATTTTTATTAGCCATCAGGGTTTTTCAGTTTTTTTATTTTTCTCATTTTTTATTGTTATTTTTCTTATTATTTTATTTTTATTTTTCTATTATTCTTTATATCGTTCCGTGAGCGGAATATCTATAGCTCCTCTGTTGACGTCGATACAGTTATTGATGCAACGGTTGTGTGTGTGTGTGTATGTTTGTGTGTGTATATTTGTATGTGTGTGTGCGTTTGTACGTGTGCGCATGGCTGTGAATGTGTGTTTGTATGTATGTATGTATGTGTGTGAGCACTTAAGTTTACGTGTGTGTGTGTAAATTTGTGTGTGCGAGGGTGTTTTTTAAGATCTGTGTAAAATTTTATAAAGTTGCAACAACGAAAAAATTTATTTCAAAACAAAAATTTTCAATTTTTTAATTCATCCTTGAATCATGTCACGTTAAATCTTTAAAAAGATAAACCTAAATTTATATTAAAAATAATAATTTTGTTATTATGTTATTATTATATTATAATTATTATCTAATATTATGATATTAAAATACATATAATAGTTACTTAATTGTATTTCATAGTTATGTTTGAGTGTATGTATATCAAAATGCACGCCAAATAGCGTGCATTGTGCATGTTGACAAAGTTTGTATTTTTTTTATGTTTGATGTTTATATGTTTGTTTTTATTATTATTTTTTTATTGTATTTATTGTTTTATTCGAAAAATTATTTTTTCAAACCTTTTTCTTTGAAATTTTTTTAGAAAAATTTTGTTAGAATTGTCTTTCTCGATTATCAAAACTTTAAATTTAATTAAATTTTTTGTTGGCATACATTAATAACGGAAATTTGAAAAAATATAAAAAGTTCTATAATAACAAAATTTTTCATTTTAATGTAATGAATAAATTCATAAATAAAATCCAAATAATCAAAATAGAACCATAAACATAGATAACAATAATAATCTCTCTCTCTCTCTCTCTCTCTCTCTTTCCTACACTCTCTCTCCCTCCCTCTCTCTCTCCCTCTCTCTCTCTCTCTCTCTCTCTCTCTCTCTCTCTCTCTCTCTCTCTCTCTCTCTCTTATTAAACGTAAAAACGTTTTTTTTTCAATTTAACAGCAAAAGCAGGTCGAAGTTGTAATGTGAATGGCAAGATAATTACAGACGGACAGCAATACAATCCAAGCTGCAGCCTCACATGTTTCTGCCAGGATGGAAGGTCTGATTATGTCTGTGTTGTTTGTTGTGTTTGTCTGCCTGCCTGTCTGTTTGTTTGTGCGTTTGTCTCTCTCTCTCTCTCTCTCTCTCTCTCTCTCTCTCTCTCTCTCTCTGTCTACTTCTTTCTATCTTTTTTTTCTATCTCTCTCATACATTTGCTAAGTGTACTTTTGTAGAAATAAATAAATTTGGTGAAAAATGTGAACGAACAAAGGAACGAAAAATTGAGTGAAGTAACGAACGAACAAAGGAATGAATGAATGAATGAATGAATGAATACAGGAAACCAATTAGCTCATTCTTTTTCTCTCAAATGCTTGAAAATTCTTTAGAGGATAAAATTTTTTAGTTGAATGACTATGTGAAAAACTTATTGGCAGTTTTTTTGCCTTTAACGAGTAGAAAGTAAACAAACAAACAAACAATCGCCAATAAACGAACAAATGAACGAACAAAAAACACGAAGGAACAAACAGACAAGCAGGCAGTCAGACAAACAAACAGACAGACAAACGAACAGCAGTCGCATAGATACACAGACGATTTCATTAAACATATTCTTTCAATGAGGCATAACGGATTGAATTGAATCAGAAAGATAAATGTAAGCATGGATGAATGAATGGATGGATGGATGGATGGATCGATCGAATGGATGCATGTTTCAATGGATAGAAAGAATGAATGATGAATGAGAAAAAAATATACGCGCACACACACGCACACAAAAATCTTCAGTAAAAGAGTACAATTATAGAAGTTGGAAGATGGAGTGAGACGAAAGCGCTTCAGGAATGTGAGCGCTATATCACAAGGATCCCATTAGCAAAGATATAAATAGCCAAACATTTATAATCATTTCCTAACAATTATTCTACAGAATAAATCGATCCAGAAAATAATTACACATATATGTAGGCACACACATACACACATACAAACTCTCTCTCTCTCTCTCTCTCTCTCTCTCTATCTCTCTCTTTCTAAGCTGAATAAAGAAATAAAAAAAAATACATAAAAATAAAAAAACAAGATGAAGAAACCAAGGCAAGTATGCATAATTTAATCTATTACACTTTCAGAAGAAAGTCACAGAGGTCCTTAAAATTAGTTCAATCGATCAACTTCTCTGTCACATTCTCCTTCTGTGTGTCTGTGTGTGTGCGTGTGTATGTGTGTGCGTGTGTGTCTGTGCGTGTGTGTGGACCCCCTTCTATTCATCTTCCTTTTCTCCTAAGCTGACAGATTTCTTATCGCTCAGCAGCACAAGCTTATGAGGCCACAGCTACTATTTCTGTGATTGAAAATTTATTCTGACGTGTTTTTCACACTTCACATACACACACGTCACATGCACACACACACACACACACACACACACATTCATACATACACACACAGATGTACACGCGTATAAATACACGTACGTACAAAACACACATACATACGTTTACGGCACACTTGCATTTAATGCGTGTTCTTGTTTGGAAGCTTAGTTTAAAATACCTTTACATTTAGTAATAGAGAAGAAAGAGAGATGTAGAGTAGAGGAGAACGGAATAAAGGAGGAAAGAAAGAGAGAAAGTGAGAAAGATTCAATTTTTCATTTTTCTAATTTATTTTAAATCGGCGATCTCTCTGATCGATTGATTGCGAGTTGGAAAATTTTTTTGAAAACAAACAGTGAAAGAGAGAAGAGAGAGAGAGAGAAAGAGAGAGAGAAAGAGAGAAGGAGACAGAAAAAGAGAATGAAAATAGAAATTCAATTCTTCTAATGTATTTTAATTAATTTGTACGATCGAATGATGCCGAATTAAAAAAAACTCTTTAAAAATTTTCTATTTCGATCTCAGAAAGATTTAGTGTCTTTTCATTTCACTCGTAAATATAAATTTAAAATTGGATTTTGTATGCAAAAAACTTAAATTTAAACAAAACTTATGTAAAGTAAATATATTAATGGCAGAATGCAACTGTACGATATGCTATGATTTGTTATTGAATTTTATTAAGGAAAGACTTAGTGTTTGTGTGTATATATGTACCTATGCATGTATGTATGTGTGTGCGTGATGTGTGTGTCTGTGTGTGTGTGAGAGTGTGTGTGTTTATAAGTGTGTGTATGCGTGCGACCAAGAAAATAAATCATGCAGATGAGACATGCAATTTGTCGGTCGATAACGTGGGTGGATTATTAATGGCAGTATCTGATTGGATAATTAAGGATGACGCGTAGGTATCCATCTCTCTGATTGGCTGGCTGGCTGGTTGGTGGGTTGGGTAGTTGTTAGTTAAGTTAGTAATTTAGTTTGTTAGCTAGCAAACAAGTGTACGCAACATTGCCATCCTTCCCTAGCATAATTTGCTGTGTGGAGTTGATCCGTTCCTAACTGGTGTATACGTTGGAAAGAATATATACACTCAAATGTCATGAAACTATATCTGCCATGTATTGGGGTGTATTGTTGATAACAACTATTTTATATATTTCTTTGATGATAGATGAAAAATCTCAAAAAATTTATTTTTCTCGTCTTAAATTAAAAATTATCAAAAATCGAACTTTTAAACTTGAGAAATAAAAAGAATCATATCGAAAACCAAAGAAAAACAGACCAAAAAGAACCAAACATCAACGATATCGCCAACAAATCCGCCAAAACATAAACGAATAAAATATAATTCCACCCACCAAATCCATACCAGGTACGCATGTTCGACGATGTGCCCCCAAGAACTGCACCCCCCTTCAAATGACCACTGTAGGGACGCCCAGCTGGTCTCCATCAAGGATAGGTGCTGCAAGGAATGGGTCTGTCCTCACCCACACAATCTCGTCAATCTAGATGATGCTCTGCCCGGACACTATTGTCTGTTTTTAACTCTTTTTGTGATAATATTTGAGGGATTTTTGGAGATTTTTTTTAATTTTTATTTAATTTTTTTGTTAATGCACAATTGGGCAAAATTGAATTTTATTTAGCGTGTTTAAAATATTTTCACCCCAATTTTGATTATCACTTTAATGATTTTAATGTAGTGAGTTTATAAAGGCAAGTCGATTAACTTTGAGTCATTTGCATCTCATTATTATACTGTACGTAGTTATATTGAAAATAAAAGAAATTTAATTTAATTGGAAACCACCAACCAACCAACCAATCAACCAACCAACCAACAAATCAACCAACCAACCAATCAACCAACCGACCGACCAACCAACTAATCAATCAACCAATCAATCAATCAACCAACTAACCAACCAATCAACCAACCAACCAATCAACCAATCAACCAACCAATCAATCAACTAAACAACCAACCAACCAACTAGCGAACGGGAAATCATGCAAACACGAGGAAACTGAGTGGAGTGCCTGTTCGACGACGTGTGGCTACGGTGAATCCGTGAGGATGTCCAACAATAATGAACTCTGCCAGGCGACACAAGAGAGAAGGATGTGCAACGTCAGACCGTGCGAGATGATGGTCTCAGAGGTGGCTTTTGGCATTATGTTGTATTTTTTTTTGTTATTTTATTTACTTTTTATTTGATATTTTGTTTTTTTTTGTTATGTATTTTTAATATTTTCCAAAATGTCTCATGTGTAGTTTAAGTATTGTTACAAATGTTAAAAGTAGAAAATTAAATTTAAGCTATATTGTTAATAATAAGGAACTTTATTCCTTAAAATTTATAATTAAGGAAATATCCCTGATATTGCTACAGATTAAGATGGCATAACCATACCTTCATTAGTGAAGAGCAACTTTTAAAATGATGACGACGATGCTAAAAATAGATCGCATTTACAAACATACAAGAATGAATTAATAAAATTTTAAACATTAATAAACAAATTTTATACTGACCGTTTTAAAAATTGATGACCGATCAGATTTCAGAGCAGTCGGACAAACAACAACACCGATCGAAAAGCAAATCAAACTACGATAATGCGGGTACAGCAGCAACAACAACAACCAACAACAGCAACAACAGCAACATTAGCAAGAGAAAGTACAACAAAAACAACCCAACATCCAACGCCACGAACGATTCCAAATGTAAATCGACACTAGAAAGTCCAATTTCTGAAAAACTCCGCCACGCTAACTGTGAAAGTGTGGATGAATATCGTCTGAAGTTCTGCGGGAGGTGTCGAAAGTGTTGCGGTCCGGAGAAATCGAGAACCGTCGATATAAAGTACATCTGTCCCGACGGCTCCACCAAGACCGAACCGTTCATGATGATTGAAAAATGCGTGTGCCACAATAAACCTAACTGCTCTTTTTAAAGAAAATTCAAGACTTGGTAAACTACAATCTTATGAAATTTGTTTATATATATCCACCTGCAAAAGTTGTGTCCAAATCGAAATTAATATAATATCCGTAATTCAAATAAACTTACAAGTGTTGACCAGATTATGATCCGACTAAGGAATGGTTTAATTTAAAACAATGACATTAATTTGTAAAAACTATGTACGAGATATAATGTATAATGAGACATTAATATTGATAACAACTGTGAACGAGTTAATGTAATGATTGACTATATTAATGCGGATGGATAGCTATTTTTTCCCAAGATCACCATAGTTGTTGTTGTTGTGAGTTTTGTCGTAAGTAACAAATTACTAACATTACATTTGTTAATTATATTTTTGTTGCTTGAGTTCCATTCATTTTATCTAAATTATAACTTTTTCATGATAACAATTTATCAAACTTTTCGAGATAAGAACATAAACTTGTTTGAAAGAAATTACTTCAACGATCAACTTTGTAATTTCAAGAGAATTTAAATTTGAACATTTTTTAGTTTTTTGGTGGAAATTATTTTCACAATAAAATATTCGAAACATTCCAAAACATGCTCCACTATTTATTTATAACATTCGATCAAAATAGATCTAAAATAACTGTCACGATGAAACAGAAATTCGTAGACATCGTATGCTTTGTAAGCTGTTGTGACACGGTAAGTATTAAACTTATCCTTTTTTCTACTAAATTGATAAGTTACAGTTTTTAGGCACATGGAAATACTAACGAGCAAGGACAGACAGTAGAAAAAATCTACAGAGTTGCCTGCTGAATTGTTTTGTTTTATTAATGTTAGTGACCCGTTATTTATTTGTCTCAAGTCATCCATCATTCACTATCTCATGTTCTCGTTTGGAATATCTAAATGAGATAGGATGACGAGTTTTTCAAAATAACTCATTAAAGGTTTATAAATAACATTTTTCAACTTATAATTTATATTTTAAACTTATGATTCACTTTTTAAATTAAACTTTTTTTAAAGATATAATTTAATTCACGAACCTTAGATAGTTTTGTTAATAGGAAACATTAGTAGTTTTATGAGACCGTTATATCGAGAACCGAGATCGAAACCGAAGCCGAATAGAAATAGTTATGTAAGTACTTAACGCCACAGCCACTAGCATACCTAATGTTTATGAGCCTGTGGTTTAAGTCTCTAGTTTAAAAGTTTTAATTTATCTTAATTTCGCGTTCAATCTGCAATTTCTAGATTGTTTACAATTAAAATTAATTTTTAGTAAATGTGTTAAATCTATTTTGTTAAAATTAATTGCTAAATATTTTGTGCTCACAATTGACGACATATGACGTATGTATAAGTATATGATATGCACAATAGTTGTTCAGCCAATGAATGTTTCATACCTAATCAAACTGTCAAGTCAAACATCTAAATAAAATTATAAAAATGAGTGAAACAGAAGAGTATGATCATGATGATCATGCTGTTAGGAGAGATGCTGCTGCTGAGACCACAACTGCTGCTGCTGCTACTGAGGCTGCTGTGGATGAAAATGTTGCAGTAGATAATCCTGCTGATGATGCAAATTTTAATGCAAATATCTTACTACATTCACCAAAATTATTAGCTAGTCTAGATCAAAGTTTTGAAGTTACAACAGTCAGACAAGATGATCATTTAATAATCCAACCAGAATTTTCACCATCATCAACAATGCCACAGCAGCAACAACAAATATCACCACTATTAGCACCAAGACAGATTTTAAAATGCACACATATACATGCACCACAAACATCACACAATTCATCAACAGCACTAGCTAGTAGCTCAACATATCAGTCAAGAAAACTGCATATTCTCAGAGGTGGAGTGTCAAAGAAGAGATCAAAAAGATCTGTTTGTAATGTTCCACCATTTTCCATTGACAGACTGCCATTATCTGTAAAATATGGTCAGCTTTGTAACTTGTTAGAATGTGCTTCTAAAACATTTTTCCCATCTGCTTGGGTGAGTAGATGCTTCTGTGGTTTTGTGAAGACTTTTAAGACATATTTTTAACACTTCTATCTCTAAATAACTAATTCAATGTGAAATAATTTTTCTCTTGAAAGACTGATCTGAATTACGTGATTAGTGATGACATTTCACTTGAAGAATTGTGGGATTTCAAGAGAATCACAATGGAAAAATCCATGATTCTTGTTAATAAATTTGCTCTACATGTCCCAGGTCAAACATTTCAGTTATTTCTCAATTGAAGTACTTTTCAGGGCATACATTGCTCATGTATGTAGTGTTTTTTTCATTATTGAAATTGTTACTTTTCATTTTTTTTATTGTAATATTTGATTTTATTTATTTTCAAGGTTTTATAAATCCAAGCTCCGAGAGTCGGAGGAGTATTGTGTTGAGTTGCAGCTATCCCATTATGTCTTGTACATTCGCAACAACATACCAAACCAACAGCTTCAAATGGTTTTCATTCTCTTTCAACAACATTGAGGTTGTCTAGTTCATTTAACAACTATATTTTCAAATGTTCAATTTTGGTACTGTTGGATTGTTTGATAAGTTTTGAAAGTTGGTTTAATACATTTACAGGCATTGGTTGAGAAGCACCAAATGTTAAGACCTTTATTTCAATCTTTCAAACGGTTCTCAAAACTGGTCCAACATTTTAAGTTAGATGAAATTGAATTAGCTTGCCTCAGTGCTATTTTCCTACTTGACATGAGTGAGTTGTTATCATCTTCTAATTGTTCATTCAATTTCACGTTTTATCATATTGAAAATTTGTGTATCATTTTGCTTTATATATGTTTCTAAAATAATTTTATAAATATATCTTTACACACATGCCACAATGTTTTTATTGCTAGATTTATTTTTATTGCATATTTTTGAAACGCACAACTATGTTTAACTTTCATTTGACTTTAAAAGGTAACATTTGGCCATATAAGGAGCTGCTACTGAATGCTTTAGAATGGTATGAAACAAGTGAGTTGTGCCAAAAAAATCTGCATTGGCAGTATTTTTACGTTTGTAACTTAGTTTCAAGATACTTTCTATGTAAAAATGAGTACCCGGTACGATTTTAATTTATTTATGTCGTAACGCATTCAATTATAGGCGTTTTTTTTACATAGCATTTGTATACTTTCAATCAATTTACCAAATATTCAGATGTCTATCCAAATCAAACGAGAAGATACCACCATGTTTTGTATTTTATTCGATTGATGACAGTCATACACCACACACATTCAAATTTATTGTACAAAGTTCATGCAGAGCCACCCTATACAAGCTTACCATCCTTCATTGTTGATGATGCAGTCTTTAATGAGACATAATATTTATTTGAAGTTGTTTTTCACGTTCCCGTAACTCTTTTGCGATATTTTTAGTCCTCTATTTTTGTTAAATTATTTAAATATGTGTTCTTTTGAGTGTATGGTGTGTATTGTCAACCTGTGATTCTTTAATTTTAACCATTCATTTGATCATATCTGTATGGAAGCTAGCCGTATGAAAGACAGTTGCCACTACTTTTTGGTGATATTTCAAAATAAAAAGCTATAAAAACTGTTTTTTTAGTTTTTTGTGGTCCTAAATTTTTTACGACGGAAACACGACGCGGTGTGCCGTTTGGTCACGTGCAGTCATGTTACTTCCGGTTTCTGCACTTTCCACAAAAACGAAACATACAGACGGAATAAGTACGTGGAAGAAAATATTATCGTCTCACTGATTTTCATACTTGTCGCACTTCACTAGTTACCATTTTATTTTTTTTTGTGTAGTTTCCTAATTATTTGTCATCATTTTCTAACTTAGTCACAATCTCCATCAAAGTCTGTCCAATTAAATGAAAAACAACTAAATAAATACTAGTTTCAAACTTTTTATTTTTATCAGTTATTAGTATTATTTCAAGTGGATAAGTTAGGATAGCTTGAGATAATCAATATACCGGCGAAAAACTAAAATACTTTGTTTACCTTAACTTTACTCCGTCAACTTTCTTTGGTATGCATATTTACAGAGCGATAATGTATTTGTCAAACATGATTATTTTATAAGTTGCCGATTCCTTTTTAAATTGCATGTCATTTACATCCGAATGTTGCTAATTAAACTTTTGAGTCCTGTTTGTAAAATTCGAACTCCACTTTCAACGTGTAAATATTTTTTGAATTTATTCATAACTTCTAAAAAAAGGTAATTTATTAATAAATTTAATTTAATTAATTAGACTTTCTTTTTTTAATTTTAATATGTTAAAAATAAAAGATAAATAGAGTTAAATATTTTATTTAATTTTTAATTTAATTATTAAAACCTGTTTACAATTTTTTTTAATGTAGTAAACACTGAATATTTTTGATATTTCAGAATGACATCATCATTATCCTCATCTACAGCTACACCATTGAAGAAACAGTTTAAGAAACTTGACAGCCCAGAGTTTAAAAGTTTATTCACTCCAGAGTTGGACTTCCTTGCAAAACTATTCAATAAAAATGGCTTTGAAATCCGAATAGCCGGTGGCGCTGTGAGGGATCTTATTTTAGGAAAGGTGGCAGATGATATCGATTTTGCTACTACCGCCACTCCGAAACAGATGATTGCCATGTTTGAAAAAGAAGAGATAAGGATGATAAACAACAAGGGAGAGAGGCATGGAACGATAACATGCAGAATCAATGATAAGGTTTACTTAAAAAATTTTATTTTCTTTTGAGTGGTCGCATCTAAAATTGAAAGCCAGTATACATATATAAAATAACTATTTTTTTTATTCCTAATTTCAGGAAAACTTTGAAATAACAACTTTGAGATTTGATGTTGAAACAGATGGCAGACATGCAGAGGTCCAGTTCACAACAGATTGGATGCTGGATGCCCAACGAAGAGATTTGACCATCAACTCCATGTTTCTAGGCAATTTCTACTTTTCTTTCTCCAAACAGACAACTTGAAAGAATATAATCATATTGTACATGAAACTTTTAGGTTTTGATGGAACTTTATATGATTATTTCAATGGGGAACGAGATTTATCAGACAGAAAAGTGAAATTTGTTGGCAAGGCTGAAGATCGAATTAAAGAAGATTTTTTAAGAATTTTGAGATATTTTAGGTTTGCAAATTATTCAATTAGGCAACTTAATGACTATTATGTAATAAGAATAATAAAACTAAGTGATATTATTTTTAAAAAACGAAATTGTTCCTATTAAAGATTCTATGGTAGAATAGCGAAGGATGCAGAAAGCCATGATGCTGATATACTGAAGGCAATACAATCAAATTCAGCTGGCTTGGCAAGTAAGAAAATAGACTTGCACTTTTCTTTGTTAATAATAGCAAATTTAATTTTCATAAATGTGCTGTAGCAGAGCAAATATTCTAATCTTAGTTGTCAATAGATAGTCATGTCGCAACAGCCAACTATGAATTGTTTGTGGCCATGTAATTTACAGACCTGTTGTGAAATTCGTGCACTTGCAGGTATTTCTGGGGAGAGGATGTGGTTGGAGTTGAAGAAGATCATGATGGGCAATCATGTGGACAGTCTCATGAGGGTCATGAATGATCTCAATGTACTCGAACATCTGGGTTCCAAATTTTTTTGCTAATTTGTTAACACCGTCTATCTGTTATTATCCATATTGATTCTTCTATTTTTTCAAACCCTTGATTGCCACATGAAATTGTTAACTAAATTGAAAGTGAATAACGCTTTATTCAGTTTTAATAATTGCGTGTTAAACTGCAAAATCAGTTAACTGTGCATATATTTACAGGCTTCATTGATGAGCTGAACTTTGATGAACTGTCACACGTTTGGAAATCTTGTAAGGACTTGAATCCTCTGCCCATGACACTTATTTCAGCAATGTTCAACAGCCTGGAACAGGTATTTAAATGTGTTTTTAATGTTTAAATAATTAAATTTTATTCATGATTTTTGCATTAATTAATGTCAAATATTTCGTCCCGCAAGCTTTCCACGTTACATGCTCGAATAAAAATGTCAAAAGATGAACTTCAGTTAGGACAATTCATACTTCAGCACAGAATAGACCCAGTGTTTCAGAAGACCAGACTGCAACAGAATGGTCCAACTTATGATGCAAATGCTTCTGGAGAATCAAAGAAGGATATGAAGAAAATGAAACTCGAAAACAACTTCCTCAACGACGATGCAACCCTACATGCAGAAAATACTGAGAACAAAATATTATCTGAAGGAAAAATATTATCTGATAAGCAGGTCGGAGATGATTTAGCAGAGCCTAAGAAAAGTGCTATGTTAATTAAATGTGAAGATTTGCTTGTAGAAGAACCATCTAATCTATTAAAAGCAAAATCAAGAATTCTAGAACTTCTAAAGTATTTCAATCTGAGAGATGCGTTGAAGCAATTTGGAGATTGGACACCACCGAAATTTCCAGTGAGTGGGGTGAGACTCATCGAGGTTGGGGTTCCGAAAGGTCCCCAGTTCTCCAGGGAACTCAGCAGGTTGAAAGAAATATGGAAACAAAGTCGCTTCACAAAAACAGAAGAGGAACTGCTTCAGTGTGTTAAAATTAAGAAAAAAATTGCTGAATAATTTTGATTTTCATATTCATTATTTAGCTAAATTCATCAAACACTACATGTACAGTTTTCAATAAACTTTTTTTAAACGAAAAATTTTTAAAAACGTTCAAGTTTAATTGAACGGTTGAATGGATGAACAAACGAGTGAACAAATGAACGGTCGGATGAATATTTTTAATTCGAATTTTGTATTTGGCCATAAGTTGAAAGATGATCTCCACGTATGTAACTTAACTTTAAATAAATTGCGAAATCTTGAGGAAAGATTTATTTATACAAACAGCAAATTTTGAATCATCAACTCTAACGTAAGCAGTGAAACGACGAGGGAGACACTCGTTAGATTTGTAATTTATTGAACAGTTAACGTTGATTTTATATTTTAAGATTGTTTATTATTGTTTTATTATTTTCTAGTCAGCACTGAACTAATGAAATATGTCGAAAATGTGGTACATACATTTTTACAAAAAAGAAACTATAAAATTATTTCATTTAAAACTTAAATTCTTTCAATTTTTTGCTCTTAACAGCTGAATTGTCCTGGCTTGTTTGAGCCTTCTTCCTCTTCTTTTGTTGTTTGGCCTGATGTTCAGCCACCATGTCACTCAAGTCCTCCTTACTGAGACTTGCCTGCTCTCTCAATGTTTGATCATACTTGGCTTTCATTGCAGCCATATCCAGGTCAAGTTCTTCAGGCTCCAGGACCACTTCAACACCTTCCCCGGAACCTTTCTTTCCAACAGCAGGAATTGGAGTGGGAATATCGTAAACGTGTGTTGATCCCATCATTCCTCCTCCTGCTCCTACTCTTCTTTCTGGAAGGATGGTGTACAAGTTGGGCGTGTCTCCTCCCTGGTCCATGGCATCTTCTATACGTTTCTTTCTCAATTCAATGGACTCGGGTGTTTCCATTCCAAGTGTCATAACTGATGTTGTACCGCTGGGTGTAGCCAGGCCAGTTTCACCCGGAGTAACAAGACCCGACAACACGTCCTGCTCGTCTCTTCCTTCTTTTTCTTCCTCTTCCTCCTCCTCCTCATCTTCTGATTCGGATTCCATCTCACCCCAGAAATTTTTATTGATCTCATCTTCTTTAGTGGGAATGTTTGGTTCATTGATGGAAGGTCCAAAGACATCCCCATAAAGAGGTTTACCTGTTTCATCGACGGGTGGCTTGCCCCAACCTCCTGCATGATATCCAAAAGAAGTCCCGTCTGGTATGGGTGCATTCAATCCAGGAATTTTTAGACTGGGATATGAAGGAGGTGGACCATACCTCTGCATGGCAATCAACCAGGGTGGTGGATATTTGTCAGCATTTGGCCCTATTGGCATTCCAAGTGCTGTCCTTAACTCATCTGATAAATTTCCTGGCTTTTTTTCTTTCAAACGAGCTTCAAATTCCTTACCTTCATAATATATGTCTCCATGAATTGTCAATCTTGGCTTTGTTTGCCATTTGAAAAATGCATCATGTAGTTTCTGGTAATCTATATCAATTTTACCCATCTTTGGTCTTACTCTTTCTCTCATTTTTGATTTCAATGTTTTTTGGTCTTCTTTTTCTTGCAGAGCTTGCCTCATCTCCATGATTCCTGTTGCTTTGATGAAATGTGGCAACTCGAAAGGTGGTTTTTCAAATCCTCTTTTGCCCTGAAGGTATTTTCGTTTAAAGCACCAATGTCTTGGAACGGGCACTGTGTTACGTGCTGCTTTCAGACTGACGAGTAGTTTTGGGTCCCTTGATGTGACATCGTGCATCTCTACTACATCCGGCCGAGACACCAACTGCTTTAATTCAGCCACAGTTAACCTGTTCATGTTTTAGATTAAATTAAAAGTTAATAAATTGCATCTTGTTTAGTTTAGTAATAAGCTTATTATTCCATCAATTTTATTAAAATTCATACTTCAGCTGCAAACTGACCTATTTAATTTTTTTAACTTTTTCTTTGACATTTTTGGCTTCTCTTCCTGATTTTTCTCGACTTCCTCGTCATCTTCCAAAAATCCTCTCGCTTTGATTGGCACGTCATCGAGTTTCTTTATATTTTTATTTTTGTCCAGTAAATCGTCAGTCTGGCTGGCTCCACCTTTCGAACCTTCGACCATTTTGAATTTTTCAAAAATACTGTTAAATTCAAAAAAGGGTTCATGTCGAGAAAAGACTTCAATTTTCTCCGGAACATATTCAACTTCCACCGACATTTCCGATCGACCAATTTAATTTATTTAATCGAATACTTGAAAGAGATCAACGGCGATAATACGTAGCCGCAGGTATAATATACATATATATAAATATACAACAAACGAGGAGAAACTTGGCAACGAAGCAAATCAAAGAAAATAAAACAATTCTATATCTACTATGCTTACAATAAACTTAACACAAGTATACGATACGCCACACGTAGCTTAAAATATAATTACGCATATATATATATATCTATATATACTTATGTAGATAAATATATAATTTACATTACATATTATCTTATCTTTGCATTGTAAAATTTAAGAATAATGACGAAATCATATAATCATAGACATAATTAATAAAAGTAAATAAGCCATTGAAATAATGATCTAAAATCATTTTACGACGTCAGAGCCAGGTTTAAGCCATTTTAAACGGCTAATATTTTATATTTTATATGTACGTAGACCACCATTTCGCAATAATGTAACAACTGAAAGGCAGTAATTAGTATCTCATAGTAATGTATCATCATTGATGTAGCAGACACAGTACCTGATAGACATTGTTAGAAGTTAGTAATTGCATACACCGGCATAACGGAATCTAATGCTATAGTTCAAACTCAGACACAAAACCCAACGTCATCAACTCTAATAATTTATTTAATGACAAAACGAAAAAAAAAGTTTCTAAACTAAACTTATCAAACTGAAATGAGTAGTTTAGATTTAATATTTTTTTTTCTAACCTAAAATAAATCAGCAGTAGTCAATGAACTTACACATACACACGTACACGCAAGCACACACACAGAAATAATTTACGATCAAGTCCTTGATAATGAATAGCATTCGCAAGTGAAGAAAAAGAAAAACAAAGAAACCAGAGTACACGGTCAGTCAGATCACAATTATTTATAACGCTTTTCATTATACAAAATTTGACAGAATTCTTTCCCCTCAGATATTCATCATTTAGAAAGAATGTTTCGTCATCTGATAGTTATACAAATTAATAAGTCAAACATAAGAATTTTGAACAAACCAGAAACATACATCTACTCATTCATTCACTCATTCAATTTAATCGCTCCTTCACTCATCTATTCGCAGTAACCATATAAACGTCCTTATCGCCATAATGATGATGAACATATCTTCCCCATCTTAACTTGCATCTGAAGATGCGAACGTTGGTATTGTACACAAAATGTACATACATGCGTATGTAATGCTCACATATGTTCACACTGTATCTTATGCAGAGTTAATAAATTATACACTTTATAAATAATAATCACAATCACAATTATTTATATATATCCTGATTTACAGTAACTATATTTGTTCATTTGGATAATTTCATAGCGAATTATATTTCCATTTTGTGTGTGTGTGTGTGTGTGTGTGTGTGTGTGTGTGTGTGTGTGTGTGTGTGTGTGTGTGTGTGTGTGGGTGAGATGTACCTCATAAAAACTAAAATGCAAAAAAACAAACATTGTAGCCGATGAGTATTTGTTAAAGTCACGGCAATAATAATAACAATCATAATAATCATAATAATTAAAATTACGAGAAGAACAATCAAGAATAATAATAAAAAAAAAACAATCCATATTACCATTAATCTTTTTCTAAAATCACCACTGTCAATAATATGGACTACCGATCTAATATTATACACAATTGCTTTTACTGACTTTGTATGTATGTATGTATGTATATATATATATATATATATATATATATATATATATATATATATATATATATAATGTATATAAGTTGAGAACTCAAATTCAAAAATGAATTAAACTAAAAATATATAACATAAATGTGCGTGAGTGAATGAATGAATGAATGAATGTATGAGTGAATGAATGAATATATAAACGAATAAATGGATGAATAAACAAATAAATAAATATACAATACAAATTACGTATAAAAGAACACAATTCATCAGTGTTTTATATACAAATAAACTTGATAATAATGATAATAATAAGAAAAATTGAATGAACTGAAATGAAAGTAATAATAATAATAAAAGCTCTTCACGACAGCTAAGACAAAAAAATAGCCCAAACGCTGTTTATGTGTATGTATGTATGTATGTATGTGTGTATGTGTGTGTGTGTGTATGCCTATATTTGTATGTATTTATGTATGTTTGTATGTATATAAGAGTTGCCTGGCTAAGAAAAATATATAGAATATCTATATATATTGTATAGATACAAATATATATATATATATATATATATTTATATATATATATATATTTATATATATATATATATATATATATATATTTATAGAATATTGTAAATATATATATATATATATATATATATATATATATATATATAATATATTATAAACCAATATATTACATAT